TGTTGCTACTCGTACTTATTCTTGATTTTGCCTCAGAAACTCCTTCTCATGATGAAATTGAAGCGTACAAAGTTCTTCAAAAATGTCTTGAGCTACGAGAGAAGTACATCTTCAGAGAAGAAGTTGCTCCATGGGAGAAGGAAATAATAACTGATCCTAGTACCCCGAAACCTAACCCAAACCCGTTCAACTATGAACATCAGACCAAAACTGAAGTAAGTGCATTTCTCTAGGTATGCGTATAATGACTGGCTACACATATATCTGCTTTCCTTTCCCCTAAAATATTGTTTTCCCTTCTTTCAGCATCACTTTGAAATGGTTGATGGTGTTGTTCATCTGTACCCCAGTAAAGATTGTGAGTGGAAAACCATTTCATTTCTTCTAGTTTCTCGTGATTTTCTTAGTTTGGGGCATGTTGATCATCACATTGTCTTTGTTGATGCAGCTAAAGAAAGACTGTTTCCTGTTGCTGATGCTACCACCTTCTTTACTGATATGCATTATATCCTTCGTGTATTGGCTGCTGGGGATATCCGAACCGTCTGTCATCACCGTTTAAATCTTCTAGAGCAAGTAATTCTTTTGTACCTTGTTCCTTCCAAACATTTGCTCTATTGTTGCCTGCATATATTGAATGTGTTCCAGACTGGCCTGTGAAGCTAGCTTGATTTATAAATCTCATTGAGAACTTGATGACGTCACATGCACAAGCTATTTTATTCTGCACATTGACGTCTGTTTTCATGCTTGTGTAATTTCAGAAATTTAATCTTCATTTGATGGTCAATGCCGATAGAGAGCTGCTTGCCCAGAAAGCTGCACCACACAGGGACTTCTACAATGTTAGGAAGGTTGATACTCATGTTCATCACTCTGCATGCATGAACCAGAAGCATCTTTTGAGGTTTATTAAGTCAAAATTGAAGAAAGAACCAGATGAGGTACATCCACTTTCTTCTTGCCTAATTGTTGCTGTTTACTCACCTAGCAATAAACCTGAGACATAATTTCCTGCACTTGACCTATGCTCCAAAATTTCATTTATGTAGGTTGTGATTTTTAGAGATGGGACCTATTTGACTCTTAAGGAGGTGTTCGAGAGTTTGGACTTGACTGGGTAACTGAAATCCTTTATCTGATGGTGCTGTTATTTATCTTCTTGTTACCTTTTTTGTAGTAACCTGTTTACTCTCTCATAGGTATGACCTCAATGTTGATCTCTTGGACGTGCATGCTGATAAGAGTACATTTCACCGTTTTGACAAGTTCAATCTGAAATATAATCCATGTGGCCAGTCTCGTCTCAGGGAGATCTTTCTTAAGCAGGACAACCTTATTCAAGGTGCACATATGTTTTGTCTTGTTGCCTGAATGTGTAACGTTAATCGCTATACTCTCTTTTTCATTTCTCTTATTTCAGCTGTTGTACTACTGTTAAACTTATATCCTGCATTAGAATTACCGCAAACGTTGACTGTAAACATACAATTTTGTTAACTATTATCCTGTCTTATTGCTAGGCCGCTTCCTCGCTGAATTAACTAAAGAAGTGTTTGCTGACCTTGAAGCAAGCAAATATCAGGTGATTCCTTCTTTCTTTATTGATTTGTCCAGTGTTAGAATTAGTTCTTTTCATATTTTCAATTTTTAATGCGGAAATATTGGCTACTCATGTACAAGCAGTGTTTACACATTGATCTAGCCCTTTTTTTTTTACTATATGGCTGTGGCTAATGCTCATAATCGAATTATCTTTATCAGATGGCTGAGTACCGAATATCTATTTATGGGAGAAAGAAAAGTGAGTGGGATCAGATGGCAAGTTGGATAGTGAATAACGAATTGTACAGCGAGAATGTTGTTTGGTTAATCCAGGTAATGGCTCTATGTTGTCCTCTTCAGTATTTCTGGCCTTCCAATTTCTATATTCACTCTAACATATTCATTAATCAATGTATATCCTTTATCTAAAACCGGACTGCAACATAAATCACTTGTTGCATTTAACTTTTTTTTAACTGGAATAGTTGCACTGATGTGGTGTTTAATTTTCTCTGCAGATTCCTCGGATTTACAATGTATACAGGGAGATGGGCACGATTAATTCATTCCAGAACCTCCTTGACAACATTTTTCTTCCACTTTTTGAAGTAACTGTTGATCCTTCTTCACATCCTCAACTGCACGTTTTCTTAGAACAGGTCAGTGGAAGCACTTTACATGTTTGTTACTTGTCTGCGTTATGTTGATGTGGCTTTCAACACTAATCTAGTCATCTTGCAATTGTATGAAATAGAAAAAGCAACTGACTTGTGTGTCTTATTAAAGAAAAATTTATTGACCAATGCTTGAAAGATCAATCTTGTTCTCTACTTTAGTAGAAAAAGTGTGGACAATCTTGAGAAAGTTACCGGCCTGCAGTATAAAACCATCAGTCAGCAGGATGTTTTTCCAAATTTCTTCCACTAAGAGGGCCCTCAAAGCTCAGTGAATTGACACTATTATTCTCTTGTAAACCATTCATGACATTTCTCTCCAGCCATCATTGTTTCTCATGCTATTATCTTCAGGTTGTTGGTTTAGATTTGGTGGATGATGAAAGCAAACCAGAAAGGCGCCCAACAAAACACATGCCGACACCTGAGCAATGGACTAATGTTTTCAATCCAGCCTATGCATATTATGTATACTATTGCTATGCTAACCTCTACACACTGAACAAGGTAATGGCATTATGTGCCCATATCTCAGTTAATACTAAAAACTTGAAAACTAACACCAAGAGAACACTTCGTATGCAGCTTCGTGACTCCAAGGGCATGACAACGATCAAACTTCGTCCACACTGTGGGGAGGTATATCCATGCTGCATCTTGTATACGTTTCTGTTTTTGAACTTTTTGACAGTGTTCTGCATTTGAATTGAACACGTTGTCTTAATGATTATTGTCTTCAGGCTGGCGATATTGATCATCTTGCTGCAGCATTTCTCACTTCTCACAATATTGCTCACGGGGTGAATCTAAAGAAGTCCCCTGTCCTCCAGTACTTGTATTATCTTGCTCAGGTTAGCACTGGCATTTTCTATGTATCTTTTAAGGACATTATTCAGAAGAAACTAATCATATTTCTTTGCCTGCAATCAGATTGGTCTTGCAATGTCTCCTTTGAGCAACAACTCATTGTTCATTGACTACCACCGGAACCCTTTCCCAACATTTTTCTTAAGAGGCCTGAATGTCTCCCTCTCAACTGACGACCCTCTGCAAATTCACCTAACAAAAGAACCTCTGGTTGAAGAATACAGTGTTGCTGCTTCGGTAAATTCCTTTGCTCCCCTACCACTATGTGCTCTGTTCTGTGCCCACTTGGACCTGCCTAATTCTTGATCGACCGTTACTTGTGGCAGCTGTGGAAGCTTAGTTCATGTGACCTGTGTGAAATAGCCAGGAATTCTGTGTACCAGTCCGGTTTCTCTCATAGGCTGAAGGTATGCATTGTACATTCATTTGCCAGTTTCCTCTGTTCTTACATAACCCAACTCATGGACTCCCTCTAAGCTCTGGCCTTTTTTTTTATCTAGTCACACTGGATTGGTAGAAACTACTATAAAAGAGGTCCCGACGGCAATGACATCCACCAGACAAATGTTCCTCACATCAGGATTGAATTCCGACACAACGTATGTACTTCACACCTTTTCTGCTTGTGTTATCTGATCTTTTTTTTTTTCTTGTGCTTGGGTTGATAATTGCCTTTGTGATTTGACCCGCAGATTTGGAAAGACGAGATGGAGCTGATACATTTCGGAAATGTTAAGCTACCAGAAGAAACCGACAGATGAAGATGTTGCGGCAGTTTTCAAGGCCCACGCGTTTCAGGCATGGCACCCCGTTTTCTGGGCTTTCGGAGAAGGAAGCAAACCTATTATGCAATCTGTGAAAGAGAAGAAAAGTGCCCGAGTACCTTTTCGATGAGTCTTTTACTCCTGTTGCTTGTATAGGCAAATGTTAGCATGGAATGATAAAAGGAGAAGACGCTCTAGGATTTCAGTGGAACATAGTACATCAGATCTATCGTCGCTCACTCGATACGTCAAATTAGTGACCTTCAGAATAAAATTGTATCTTTTGCTTTTTACCCGGATGTTTTACAGCATGTTTGATCTGATATCTATTAGAGATTCACCGGTTATTTCTGTTCGAACAGGACTAGTATATTTGATATCATAAGTTGCAGTCCCTATGTCCCACAATATAAGATATTTCACACATGTTTTGAGCAGATATTAGTGTATGTTTGGTGTCGGTTAGGGTTGTTTTCTGCGCATGTGCTGTAGGCCCTGCCACTGTTTGGCCACGCCGTGGTTGGGAGCGTAAAGCCGCGGGCAGAAGATTCAACTGGACCGCTTGGAACAGGCCCCTCTTAATTATGAGGATCTCCGGGGTGATGCAAGCTGGCCGCTCCCATCCGAGAACTCACAAATGCTATGCTATGCTAGTGCCAGTGGTGGCCACTGCTGCCCCCACCCCTAGCATCATACCCATGTTGGTGTCTCGAACAAAACTCAATGGAAGTACGCTGATGTTGCAGCCATGACGCTGGTTACAAAATGATGATTGCGTATATTCATGATGGGGACTCGCCGCGCCGGAGAAACTGACTTCACGTCACCTGTGTTGTTGCTTCCTCTGGTTTCTTGATATACAACTACCTTTTTCCCTAGGAATAATCATTGAGCCACGGACGAAAAACAAGAACAGGAATAATGGCCCAACTACTAGTTAACCAGAGCAGTGGTCCATGTTCCTATTTCACCCTTCATCATCCTGCCACTCCATACAAAAACACATTTGCAAGCCTTTCGTGCTTCAACAAAAGAATTACTTACTCACAGCTTGAAAACAGATTGGTTGATTACACAAAGAAAAAAGATAGAAAACCCGGAGACAAAAAGAAGAAGATGAGTAGAGCACAACTACTAATTAGGCTACGTGCTACGACGACGACGACGACTGCAGTAGGGGCTGCGCTTGCGCCGGCGGAGGCGCGGCGACGATCTGGGCGTAGAGGAAGTGGTTCCAGGTGTCGGGGAGGCCCGGGAGGCACCAGTGGATGCAGTCGGCGTAGGTGCGCGGGTCGGCCTGCTGCTCGGGGGTCAGCAGCTTCCCCTGCCGCAGCGTGTGCACGGAGGTGTGCGCGTCCTTGCGGAACTCGGAGAGCGCGGTGATGTCGACGAGGTGCACCGGCACGCGGCGCATGGAGCGCAGCACCGCCTCCGCCGCGCCGTGCAGCCGCCAGTCGGTGCCGATGTAGAGCGGGCCCGTGTGGTTGAGGATCGGCTGCGTCTCCATCGCGCACTTGATCGCTCCCGGCCCCCCGCCCCACGCGTCCGGCCTGCACGCACATACATACATAGAACGTTTCATCAGGTTACAATTCATCAGACCAAGAGAGATCTCCACAGCTGTGTTAGTAGAAGAGCAGAGCATGCAATGCAAGGTCCAAGGTGGGTGAGGAGCTGAGATTCCGCCGCCGGCGCCGGCAATGGCGAGATCCAGGTGTTGTCGCTCATGATGCAGGTTAGGTTAGGCTAGGTTGCCATCGCCATGATTTGCCTCACACACACACGGGCTGCCAAGCACATGCTTGTTTGTTTCTTTGCTTGCTTTTGGTGGAATAATGTTGTTCACGTGCTTGTCGATGCCATTTGCGTGTGTGTGGAATCATTATTTCTTATTAAAAGCGGAAGTAGCCAGCAAAAATCGACCAAAACGGTACGGCACATCACATGAAGCTCAACTTGGTTTATGCAGGCAACATGGCGTGATCTGCTTCTCTCCAGCGATCAAGCTGCACAGCTGTTCCGAACGTGGCTACTCCCTTGACGGACCCATTGTTTGGAACGTGGCTACTCGCTTGACGGACCCATCAACGGGGAAAGAAAGCGACGGAGGGGTCGCTGCTAAAGTGGGCTTGGACGGCTTCCCTTACTACTACCAGTAGTACTAACGTTCTTGGAGTAGGTTAGTGGGGACTGTCATGGAGAGATGCATGCATGCAGGCATTAATTTCACTATACTTATGCCAGTGCCAGTACGCGCACGCATTGATCACAAGCAGTCGGATGCACACTGCTCTGTGCGCGCCCATCACGGCTACACTCCGATGGATTTTGTGCTGGTTCTACGGATTTATGCCTCCCCTCCCTCCTGTGAAGTTTCTGGCTCTGGCACCGTGGTTGGTGCTGGAAGCTAACCTAATGTGAAGCACGTGCCACCCATTCGCTCAGTCAGAGATCAAGATTATTTACCCTTCACCCGTGGCCATGGTCAAAATCCCTTCCACAAGAAACCACTGCCCAAGATTTGTGCCATCACTAAACAAATTGGCAATACAATAGTCTAGTACCCCAAGGGGATTAGCACTGCCCGAGAAGCCTGTTTGTTTTGGAATCCCAGCCCCGCCCGTGACCGACGCCGCTACCAACCCAGAAGAAATCGCCGGAAAATGGGGAACGCAATCCACCATTTGCAATGAACAAGTTGGAAGTGCTAGTAGTACTGATCGAGAGCTGATGAGTGAGTGAGTGAGTGATTGAGTGACTTACACGCCGTGGTTGGGCGACATGCCCATGAAGAAGACCTTGGTCCGGCCGGGGTCGACGTGCCGGTCCACCCACTTGGCCCACGTCTTGAGCACCTCCTTGTACGCCACCGGCCGGTCCACCAGCGTGTACTTCTCCGGCATCGCCCTCGGATTCTTCCTGCAACACCCATCACCATTCCATCATCTTCATCACTCACACCGATCTTCATCACTGGACCAAGCAGCAATGGCGGGAGTGGCACTCGGACGGACGGAGGACGGAGGGACTCACAGCACTTTCATCTCGAAGTTGTTGAGCCACCAGATGTAGGTGTTGAAGACGAGGAAGTGGGCGGCGCGCCAGTGCCGGGCGTGCTTGGCGATGGACCGCCACGCGATCACCCGGTCCGCCACGCTGTGCGCCTGCGGGTCGTCCGAGTTGGAGCTCACCAGGAACGGCGCCCAGTAGAACTCCACCGTCGCGTTGTACTCCGCCGCCCTGAACACGTTGAGCGACCCGTTGGGCCCGACGAACTTGACCAGGGACTTTTGGGCGCGCGACGGGATCGCCGACGACACCAGGCACACCATCGACTCCCACTGGTTCCGGTTCAGCGAGTCCCCCACGAACATCAGCCTCTTGTTCCGCAGCCGCTCCAACAGCGCCCGCGCGTCGAACCTGCAGCGAGATTTTTGAGTTGAGATCTGTACTTGGACTGATGAATTGAGTTGGGGATGGATGCGCGGCAATGGCGACGGTGGTCGTGGGCGGTACCTTGGGAGGTCGCAGGAGGAGGGCTGCCAGCGCCACCGCTGGTACGAGTCGTCGCGCCGGCCGTTGCGCATGCAGGTCACCTGCTCCGTCAGGAACTCGCACTCCGGCTCCCGGTACAGCGGCACCTGCGACGCCTCCGCGTCGTACGTCCACCACCCCTGGTACAGGTTGCACGCCGGCGGCTCCGGCGCCGCCACCGCTGCTCTGCTGCTGCTGCTGGTGGTGTTGCCGCCGCTGCTGGGACTGGGAGGAGGCGTGGTGGTCGCCGTCATGGCCGGGGCGGCGCGCTTGTCTGCTCTCGCGGGCGCATCCACCCTGTTGCTGTCGCTGTCGCTCGCTTTCCTCCCGCTCTCCACCTGCTCCACATGGCGACGCCGCTCCTCCTCGTCGCTCCCCTCTTGCTGCTGCTGCTGGGGGCGGGAGTTGACCTCGTGGAGGAGGTGGAGGTCGGGGGCGGACCTGGCGCGCGAGGCCCCGGCGAGCGGGAAGTCCCCGGCGCCGGCGTCGGCGGCGATTGGGGCCTTGACGACGGCAGAGTCCTCGTTGTAGAGGAAGATGGCGACGAGGAAGATGGAGACGAGGACGCCCGCGAGCGAGAGCGGCGCGCCGGGCCTGCGCGCGGGCGCCTCCTCCCCCTCCCCCTGCTTGGCGGCCGCCGGCGCCGCCGCGAACGGCGACTTCCGGCGCAGCATCGCCGCCGCTGCCGCCCCCGCCCTCCCCTTCGCCCCCGCCGCCAGCAAGAAGTCAGGCAGGCTCAAGCTCGCGTCTTTCCCCCGCAGAGATCGACCGACGCCTCCTCCTCCCGCTGGCGCGCCGGACAGGTGCGTCTGGGAACCGGAGATCAGCCGGGATCTCCTCGCCGCGGCCGGTAGTCGGGGAGGCGGATCGCTCCGGTCAGCGCCGGCGGCGGGCGCCCCCCTTGTGAACAGTACGGTACGGGCAGAGCGAGCGGAGGACCGTTGTGTGGTGGAATTGGGGGAGGACGAATGGGACGGGGGGCGGTGGGTCTCACATGACATGTAGCCATGGAGGGTGCTGGTGGTAGATTAGTGGTGATGGTAAGCTTGTTTCTTACTCCTCCATTAACATTACCTTAAGCAGTGGGAGATCATGGAGGCTTGACCGTATCCGTCCCATGGATTACACAGTCAATGGGGTCGCAAAAAACAAAGGAGAGCGAAATAGCATCTTATGAAATCGATGGAGAACATGGCTGGTGTGCCTCTACGTGTACAAACGCTGTAGATTCTTGGGGCCATCTGGGCTTGTGGGGAATAAAGATGGAGGCACACACTGTGAAACAGAAGGGTACAACATTCTCCTCTCATGGTGTATCTGTCATTGCAGTGATCTAGGTGCGTTTGGATTCCATCCATCCGCTACAGATGTTTGATTCAAAGTATTTTCATTTTCCCCCTACTTGTATTGTTCGACTTATTATATAGGATTACATTCCATATGATTTATTTTCTTTCCCCCACATCGAGGGCTCCCTCGTGTCGCCTCCTCCAGGAAGATAGGGGAACAAACCCTAGCACCCCCTCCCCGCCGACACCCCTTCCTCCCTCCCCTCTCCCCTCGTCGTCCACAGAGGCGTCTGCCGAGAAAGCTCGTGCGCCGCTGGTAAAGGGGGCGATGGGGATATGGCGTCTCGTGGCCGTGGCGCCGATGTCTGGAGGGTAGACAATGGCAGCGTGGGACTCCACTCCTGCGGTTGTTCCTCCTAGCAGCATCGTGGGGACGACGGACTCGGCGAGGGGTGCATCCGGTCTGCGACGCAATGAGCCCAGAGCAATGGCTCTGGACATAGCAAGGACAACGTCCCCTCTGTCGGGGATGACTGGCCAGGAGGCGACTCAATGTGGCGATGCGTGGGGGCGGCACATCACGGGATCCTGAACACGAGTTCGTCGCAAGAGTGGCAGCCAGAGCTATCTCCGGCATCGATGAAGTTAGATTTGGGAGAACCACAACTCTATGGGGGTTTGCGGATTGGAAGCCAGAGCGGTGGCGGCACGGACCTCGTGGTTGATGGTGATCTAGACGACTTCGGGTTCGAGGAGGTGTGACTGCGTGTGCATGCGGTGCGTGATAAGGGTCTGCTTGACAATGCTTCAGTTTTAGATGATGTGCGTAAGTGTAAGGCCAGGGCAAGTGGCCCTGGTCGTGGCCACCCTCATCGTCGGGGTTCTTTGGTGTGGCGACACTTGTCGCCCAGAAGGTGGCTTCGGGGTGGATCGATGTTTTCACTTGTAAGGCTTTGTTGAATAATATAATAAAAATGGTTGTGTGCATCATTTGATGCAGAGACCGGGTGTTTAATCTCCTTTTCAAAAAACATTATGTTTTTTCTTCATGTGATTCATTTGCATTGGGAAGACTCAAGAAGATCTCAACTTTGAATTAACTAGCCAGGATTATAGCCACATGATTACAATCATGTGCAACTAAAAAAAGAAACACGGCAAGAAACCGAAGGCGCTGGAAGGCAGCTCTCAAAGCCTCACACGCTACAGGCTAAAATGATAAACATGAGGTGAACAACTTGAGGACATCGAGACCCCCCTTCTCCGAAAGGATCACCGCATTGGGAAGACTCAAGAGGAGCTCAGCTTTGAATTAACTAGCCAGGATTATAGCCACATGATTAGAATCATGTGCAACTAAAAAATAAACACAACAAGAAACAAAAGGCGTTGGAAGGAAGCTCTCAAAGCCTCACACTCTACAGGCTAAAATGATAAACATGAGGTGAACAACTTGAAGACATCGAGACCCCTTCTGCGAAAGGATCACCAGTGTGCTGGCTCAAGAAGGAGAGCCTAGCATCAAAGTAAGGTCACACTATCTCCAAACCACTAGCCCCCCAGAATGATACTGTTGTCCATTTCCATCACCAAAGAACCCCCTGCCTTCTCGCCTACCTCAAAGGCCGCCGCACCGATGACAGATGTTCACCCTAGATCATGGACGAGTTCCACCGACCTGCAGCTTAGGGAAATTATCATAGCAAGCCAACATGACGCAAACAACTCTCCTAGAGCAATGCACCGTTGTTGCCCACGTGCAAACCACGAAAGAGATGAAAGTTGTTGGGTGGACAATAGCAAAGTGCCCTGGAAGCAAGGAGCACTGCTACCTCTTGAGCTTGCGTTGGTTTTTCCCTTGAAGAGGAAAGGGTGATGCAGCAAAGTAGCGTAAGTATTTCCATCAGTTCTGAGAACCAAGGTATGAATCTAGTAGGAGACGACACACAAGTCACCTAGTACCTACACAAACAATCAAGAACCTTGCAACCAACGCGATAAAGGGTTGTCAATCCCTTCACGGTTACTCGCAAAAGTGAGATCTAACAGAGATAGTAAAGTAAATATTTTTGGTATTTTTGTTGTATAGATTGGAAAGTAAAGATTGCAAAATAGTAAACGAGATTTAAAGAGATGCAATATAATGGAAAAGAGACCCGGGAGGCATAGTGTCGGTGTCAAAACCGGCGGATCTCGGGTAGGGGGTCCCGAACTGTGCGTCTAGGCGGATGGTAACAGGAGACGAGGGACACAATGTTTTACCCAGGTTCGGGCCCTCTTGATGGAGGTAAAACCCTACGTCCTGCTTGATTGATATTGATGATGTGGGTATTACAAGAGTAGATCTACCACGAGATCAAGGAGGCTAAACCCTAGAAGCTAGCCTATGGTATGACTGTTGTTCGTCCTACGGACTAAAGCCATCCGGTTTATATAGGCACCGAAGAGGGCTATGGTTACACAGAGTCGGTTACAATGGTAGGAGATCTACATATCCGTATTGCCATGCTTGCCTTCCACGCCAAGGAAAGTCCCATACGGACACGGGACGAAGTCTTCAATCTTGTATCTTCATAGTCTTGGAGTCCGGCCGACGATGATAGTTCAGCTATCCGGACACCCCCTAGTCCAGGACTCCCTCAGTAGCCCCCGAACCAGGCTTCAATGACGACGAGTCCGGCGCGTATATTGTCTTCGGCGTTTGCAAGGAGGGTTCTCCTCCATATTCCATGTGTTTGCCGAACAGTGTCCGGTTTCCTTATAAATGTTGCGCTCCTTGGCTTCTACGTCCAATAATGGTCCTCTTCCACGTGTCGTATGAATGCGAAAAGCCAGGGTATTTTTACATTTTACCCCCTAGCTGCGCGAATAAGCTGCCTATAAGAGAGGCGAGGATCCAGATCCGAATCACACCATCCTCCTTCCGCAAGTTCTCATCGAAGCGCATTCGACAAAAATCCATTCCAACATGGACAGTCGACGCGGCTCCTCCTCTCGCGCTCCTAGTCCTCAGCCAGGAGATTGTAGGAGATGTTCGGTCCCGCATAGCGAGTTAGCGACGCTCCAAGCAGAGGGATACCTTCCCCCAGCCTTTATGGTTCCGGTTCGAGCCGGACTGGCCACCTACAAGGGTGGGAAGCAGACGAAGAGCGTCCCCAATCCCTCCAAAGGAGAGCGGGTATGCTTCGTCCCCTACCTAATAAGGGGACTCGGATTTCCCATACACCCATTTCTCCGGGGGCTCCTGGAGTTCTATGGACTCCAACTTCACCACCTCACACCTGCCTCCATCTTGCACATCGCGGGCTTTGTAGCTCTTTGCGAGCTGTTCTTGGGCATCGAGCCCCATTTCGTGTTGTGGAAGAGATTGTTTTGCCTCGTACCCCGTTCTCACGAGGGGTCGATATATCAAGTGGGCGGAGCCGAAATATGGCGCATCGCCGAGACCGGATATCTATCCGGAACCCTGAAGAAGGCGTCCGAAGACTGGCCTTCGGAATGGTTCTATATGGAAGACGCCCCGCTGCCGGATCTAGTTCGGATCGGCCTCCCGGAGTTTAGCAACGCTCCTATGAGAAAACACCTGAGTTGGTGCCCGCGGAGCCCTCAACAGGAAGATGATAGGAGCGTCCAATATCTGATGGGCCGGATAAGGTTACTGGCCCATTCCGGACTGACCATGATTGGAGTCATGGCCACATGCGTTATGAGAGGGGTGCAGCCGCTCCAATATAGGGGCCACCCCATGTGGGATTTCAACGGGGAGAATGACGCCACCCGTCATGGCCGCAAGGGGCCAGGATCGGCCGCCGATCTGGTGAAGATCCTGTCCGGCTTGTACAAGGGGGAGAAGGAGGACTTCCTCCGCACGAGTCCATTGAATGGATTCTTCATGAATAACCCTCGGAGCTGGGTAAGCGGACGTTTATATATCCGATCCGTGCTTTCAAAGATAAGTATCTTACTTTATGATTTCGACGCAGGAACTGCGCCGAGATGTGGAGGGCATAGAAAGCCCGACTCCACAAACTGAGGATCCGGGAAGATCCCTTGATCCGGCCTCCGGAGAGGATCCGGACATAATGGTGGAACTGATTGACGGGGTGTTCCACCAGCTCAGCATAGACAATGCTCTATCGCCATTACGGCTGACTACCCCGGTTTATCTCCGGCTTCCCAGGTGAGTACGACCGAAGTCCCGACACCATTACTTTTTTAATGCTTATTTCTGACCATCGTGTACCAACGGTGCTTCGTAGGAGGTGCCTTTACAGCGGGAAGCCGAGCCCGCGGCGACTGACCAACCAGGGTCAGTGCGGCCCAGCAGGCAGAAGAGGAGTGCGGCGCGAATCGAAACATCGCCGCAAAGGTATGGCGCACCATTGTCTTTAAGGGAAAGACTCCTGGGAGGTATATTAATGCTCATGATTCTTCCAGGAGAAAGAACGCTCGCTGGACTGTGCCCGGAGAGGTTGCCAACCAAGCCTCCGCCAGCCAGGCTCCAACACCTGGTCCGGAGGGGGAGGTGAGCGCAAGGCGTGAGCCGGATGCTCCTCCAATGGAGGATGCCGACAGGTTGTCCGCCACCAGGTCTGAGGTGGAGAGCACCATGAATCACAGGCGCCGTCGGACAGTTCTTCGTGACGCGTGTTTCTCCCCCGAGGCGTTGAATGCCTTTAATGCGGGAGACGCGCACCTCCGTGCTGCTCAAG